GTTAGCTCCACACACATAATATACAGAACTTGTTGCCAGGTTTATATTTATATCTTATATTTTATTGATAACTGCAAGCCAATGATAATTTCTTTCTATAAGAACTCCGAAGAACCTTCTGATCTCTTTAATTGCAGCCCTATCAATCTCTTACCATATTTCGGCAAATTATTCGAGGCTTTAATCAATGCAGAAGGGGTTAAGCATCTTACTTCTAACTATCTTTTCTTTGACAAACAACATAGAGTCCATTTTGCCCGGCCTAAAACAGATATGTCAACGGACATCACTGAATATCTATATCAAGTTCTTGATAGTAACGGTGAAGCTCACGCTGTGGCTCGAGATATCTCAAAGGCCTTTGACAGTCTTTGGCACGCTGGTCTTCTATGTAAGCTTCAGGGCTACGGATTTACATGACGATTATTTAGTTTAAAACCAATCATTTCAATCAAATCATGAAATGAAGGCCGTCCTGAACGGGTTCTCTTCCAAGTCCTTCCATACGTACGCAGGAGTTCCACAAAGTTCTATCCTGGGTCCTACACTTTTATGATCTTCATCCATGATTTCCCTGATGTCATCAGTTCCCAAGTAGGCATTTATGCAGATGACACTACCATTTATTCCTGTCTCAATAATAAATGCGGCAGCGCTGACAAAGTTAACTTGGCCTCTGCTCTTGAAAAGGATCTCCAACCAGTGATTAACTGGGGCAGTAAATGGCTTGTAAACTTTAATACCTCCAAAAATAAACTGATCTTAACCACCACAGAGAAGCTTCCCCGCCCAGTCAGCATGGCTGATGCTCGACTCCGTGATGGTGCCTCACTGCGCCTTCTTGGATTTACGTTTTCCAATGACCTGAGGTGGAACGACTACATTGAATCAACAGCTGCATCTTCTGCAAGGAAAGTCGGATCACTGTGTCGTGCCAAAAGGTTTTTTTATCTTCAGAATCCATCTTACACATCTACAAATCTACCATTCCTCCCTGCATTGAATTTTGTTGCCATATCTGATCTGGTGCCCATGCTGTTCATCTCGAAGTTTTCAACAAATCCAAAGCAGGATCTGCAATATAATCGGTCATGACTTGACATCTCGACTTCAGTCATTCTCTCATAGACGTGACGTGACTTTCCTCTGTCTTTTCTACAAATATTTCCATGGCAACTGTTCTGATGAGTGTTTTTCCCTGGTGCCCTAACTTCATGAATTTAAGCGTGCTACTCGATTGTCACTTAGGTCCCATTCTTTTATTGTTGAAATATTTAAATGCAACCACCAATTCTGCTCCAGCAGTTCCTTTTCTAGGACTTCCCGACAGTGGAACTACCTTCCGTTTATATGCTTCTCTGATAGCTACAATCTTCAAAAATTTAAATACCACGTCAATCACCATTTTCTGTTGCCTTGATCCTCGTTCTTCTTTTATCCTTTCCTCATTTCCCTCTATACACAGTCTTTTCCCTCACTTTTACTCTCTGTAACCCCCCTCTGAGTGCTAGTGGCACTCATGGCATGCTGGGGCGAAATGGTTAATATATATATATATATATATATATATATCAGGAAAAAAATGATTGATACTAAAAAATTTAGTAAATACTAATATATACTGATCCTAGCAAAAAAATCAGGTTAATCATATACTACTCTAAATCTAGTATATCCAACTTAATTATTTGCAATGATTCTTCCCCCCTCCTCGTTAGTGATTTGCAAAACACCAACATAATTTACAAAATCAAGTGCCCTTTGGGAGATTGTATCTCTAATGTATTAAATAATATTTATGTTGGTCACACCACAAACTCGCTTTCACGACGCTTGACTCTACATTTGAATGATAACTCTAACATTTTTAGGCATTTAAAATACATGCCTGGCCGCATATACAATTCCGGAAAATCCTCGTTGAAAACACAACTATACTTAAACACGAAAACAATGAACAAAAACTAAAAATTCTTGAAGCTATATACATAAAACAGTTGAAACCTAACCTGAACAAAATAAACTATGAAATCTCCACAAATATTCTTAAATGCCTATAATTGATAACAGAAGCCATTGGTTTATACCAACGGCTTCCCATACTTAATACTTGTCGTTTTCACTCTCGCGTGGTCATGTGTAATGTCACGAGCTGCGATGTGATTTTCGCTACCGCATCTCGTATATTTTCATGCAATAAAACAGACTATCCTCATTGTTTTGTACGCGTATTGTTTGATATATATATATATATATATATATATATATATATATATATATATATATATATATATAGAAACAGGGGTGAAATTTCTAGTACATAAAAAGGAAAGACGGCTTGGGGAATTTGACATTCACAGAACATACTGAAGGCAAGAAAAGCAGAGGGGGACATCGAGTGACTTTTAAATTAGTGTCACCCCAAGCAAGACAGTAAAGCCGCTAAAGACACAAGGGGTTACAGGGTGTGGAAGAATTGGGAATAGAGAGAGAAAAGCGTAATCAGGAGGTGAGTAGATAACGATTGAGATTGTATTTAGATATTTGCAGGAAATGGTTGGAAATGATGGAGCTGGAAGGAAGTTCCACAAGCGAGAAGTGCGAGAAAAGAAACTGCTAGCATAGAATTCCCGGTTGTATATAGTCAGCTCAACTTTAAATTGATGCCAGTCTAGAACTGCGCTAAAATTCATAAAGTCTAGGTACCATAGTGAAGAACTCGTCTGAACAATTACCATGAAAGTATTTATAAAAAAAAGGCACAGAGATGCAACATTATGGTGGTGGAAAAGTGACAGCAGGACCAATAATATTGCTCATTCTTCTTTGGATTTTATCAAGGAGCTCAAGGTAAATAACAGGAGCGCCAGACCATATATGGCAGAGCTGGAAATGCGATGGATGGCAAAAAACAAACATTGAGAGTTACAAAAGGCAAGAAGTTACGGCACATAGCGATTTTCCAAGCATAGTTTAGATGTGACACAAGGCCGAAAATATGGGGAACCGAGTGAGTATCGAACTCACTACTCAGTCATAATTGTTCCAGCAAGACAAGCTTGCTAACCATTATAGCGAATAGGGGTGCCCAAGTTACGGCACATACCAGGTCATCCCATAATGAGTTAAATGAGCCGCATAACGAAACTCCTATATCAGGTCATCCCATAAGTCCTGTCTGAATTTTAACTTTTTGTTAAAATGAACGAAATTTAAAGAGTATTTTATAATGTCTAATGGAGCTGAACATTATTTTTATGTTCAGATGCATTTAAACTGATCAAATTTTATTTCAGGGAACAATAAAATTAAATTTTGTTTGTTTAAAACCCTGCTAACATGGAAGTACCAAAGAATCATTTGAGGCACATTATGCTCTATGAGTTCAAGAAAGGAAACTCAGCAGCCGAAGCGGCTAGAAACATTCACTCAATTTATGAGGAGGAATGTGTGAATGAAAGAACTTGAAGAATATGGTTTGCAAAATTCAGAGGTGGAGATTTCACCCTTGAAGATGAAGATCGAACCGGACGTCCAGTTGAGTTTGATGAAAATCTTCTTGAAGCAACTCTTGAAGAAAATCCTCCTTTATCAGTTGAGAAATTGGCAGTGGTTCTCAGTTCAAATTATACAACTGTTCAGCGTCATCTTCAACAACTTGGAAAAGTTCCTAAACTTGGAAAATGGGTGCCTCATGAATTGTCTGAAAACAACCTCAAATCCCGAGTTGGCATCTGTACTTCTCTCCATTCTCACCAAATTGTTTCACCTTTTTTGGATCTTTTATCGAAATGTTAAGCGTCGTAGACAGTGGCTTAGAATAACTCCAGCCACCGCCCAGAAGGGAACTTCATAGGCAAAAGGTTCTTCTTTCAATCTGGTGGGAGCGCCAAGGATTAATCCATTTTGAATTCTTACCACCTAATGCAACAATTAATGCTCAAATATACTGTCAGCAATTAGAGCGTTTGAACCATGCTTTAAGGAAAAAAGACCTGCTCTAGTGAATCGAAAAGTGGTGATGTTTCATCAGAACAATGCGCGACCCCACACAGCAAGAATCACGTGACAAAAGATCGAAGAACTTGGTTGGGAGAAAAATCTTCATCTACCTTATTCTCCCGATCTTGCTTCTTCAGACTACCATTTGTTTCGTAGCTTACAGAATCATTTGGAAGAAACAGCTTTTGTAACACAGGAAGAGGTTAAAACTGATATTTGTGAGTTCTTCGAATCAAAGCCAAAAGAATTTTACAGTAATGGAATTAGTAAGCTTGTTAATAGATGGAAGGAAGTCATAGATAATCATGGAAAATACATTGTTGATTGAATCTGTAATTAAATGTAACATTTGGTCACTTGTTTTCTTTATTCAAAATTCGGACAGAACTTATGGGATGACCTGATAGAAGGAAAAAGAATATCCTTTTCAATTCAGAAATCGTCTTAGGCTGATAACATTTCTATTACAATTCCATCTAGACCTGCTGTTTTTTAGGGGGTTGTTCTGTTTTTGTTGCCTAGTGTCGATTTCACCTCAGATTTTAACATTAAAGTCTTTTTTTATGTTATTTTCTGTCGTTGTGAAAAATTTCGGCTTCATCTGCTGCATCTTTGAATTTGACATTGTAATGAAAAAAAAAAAAACTGGAGGAGAGGTATTTAAAATAAACGTAGTATTTGTAATAACTAAACAGGTCTGGAACAAAGTGGAAAATAAAATCTCAAATAACGAATTCATGACTCATGTTCGACGTCCTTTTTTTCGGTTTGTGTCAGGTCTCAATAAAGCTAGGGTTCTTAGTCACAGGACAGGAAGCCGTGCTGTGTTTATTTCCGACCATCGCTCCGAGAGAAGATCACTGGCTGTTCTATAAACCTGCGATTTTTTTAATCAGGGTCACTGATGGTTCATGTGTAGACATTAACGCTGACTCAGTTTTCCGACTAAGAAAGGCTCGCCTGTTAGAATCGTTGTCGTGTGAAATCCGATGTTTTCACTAAGCACGAACACCGACTACCGAAGCTGCTGAACAAATCCTATAATTGATATAGATAACTAGATTGATAGACAAAAGCAGGGGACATGTCTGCTCAATCATTGTCGGTAGATTATGTTGCGTCAGTCTCTTGGGATTTATTTGACATAGATTTGAGATCTTAGGGTTAACATTCAAGGTGTTTAAGGCTCTGTTTTCTCATCATTTTCTATGCAATTTAGCAAAGGAATTTTATCGCTCTAATTTTACAACATATATATATATATATATATATATATATATATATATATATATATATAACGGACTGAGATAGATAAATATGAATGAAAATATGCCCTGCCTAGATAGATAGATAGATAGATAATATGAACAAAGTGAGACTGATAGATAAATATGAACATAGATAGATAGATAGATAGATATGGATGATATGAACAAAGTGAGACTGATAGATAAATATGAACATAGATAGATATATAGATAGATAGATAGATAGATAGATATGAACAAAGTGAGACTGATAGATAAATATGAACATAGATAGATAGATAGATAGATAGATAGATATGAACAAAGTGAGACTGATAGATAAATATGAACATAGATAGATAGATAGATAGATAGATAGATAGATAGATAGATAGATAGATAGATATGAACAAAGTGAGACTGATAGATAAATATGAACATAGATAGATAGATAGATAGATAGATAGATAATGAGTAGAATGAAAGCGACAGGTAGGCAGAGAGACAAAGAGCGATATGAACGAAACGAGGGAGATAAAGAAAGAAAGAAAGAAAGAAAGAAAGAAGATAAATAGAATGAGAGAGAAAGAGCGGCGAACAAAGTCAGAGAAATATATCAGCAGATATAGATATAGACAAATTGAGATAGATAGATAGATAGATAGATAGATAGATAGATTTGAATAGACCGGATTAGATAGATAGATAGATAGATAGATAGATAGATAGATAGATAGATAGATAGATAGATAGATAAGAACCGACTGAGTTATATATGAACAGATTGGCTCACTTGAAGACAGTTTAGCTATCAATCTGAAAAAGTGGTTGCAAACAGCTGACATTTTAGATATTTCTAAATGTGCTTGATGTCACGCATGACATCCACCTGAAAGTCTCGATCTGACGAACTTAGTTAAGCACATGACTCAAGTTTTAGGTTAATACTTCGGTTTTGTAGCAGCTTGTGGTGTTGGGCGAAACTACCCGTAGCACTGTGTTCAGTGACCTTATTTCCTGAATCTTTATTAAGTATTCAGGGTAGGCACCATCACTGCTTTCATTCCAGTTCCAGAATATATTTTTTTTCTGTTTTGGAACGGTTTATCTTGATCCCTACTTCGTGGAACACTTGCATGCTTAGAATATTGCTGCCATATATGGTCCGGTGCCTCTGCTATTTACTTTGAGCTCCTTGATAAAATCCAAAGAAGAATAGTCTTTCAATCACTTTCTCGTCGCCGTAAGGTTGCCTCCCTGTGTCTTTTCTATAAATACTTTCATGGTAATTGTTCGGATGATCTCTCCGCTATGCTACCTAGAGTTTTTGACTTTAAGCGCATTACTAGACTGGCGTCGAGATTTGATCAATTTACAGTTTTCTCGCACTTCTCACTTGCGGAACTCCCTTCCGGCTCCATGATTTCCAGCCAACTTTAATCTGCAAAATTTTAAATGCAATGTCAGTCACTATCTACTGCCCTCATTATTAATGTTTCTGTTCGCAATTCTTCCACGCCCTGTAATTCATTGTTTTTTTGTTTTTTTGTGATTTTTTTGCCTTGCTAGAGGCGATACCCGGGAAAGCGACGCTGTTTTGTAATAAATTAATTTTGGATTCGATATGGAACGTATAAGTGATCAGTGCCCATCTCTTTATATCTATTCTTGTATATGCGCAGAGCATAATCTAGTAAGAGATTAAATATACTGGTGCTCTCATTTCCTCCTCGTCGTACTCCAGATGAGGTTTGAAATTTTTTTGGGGGGTCCTCAACCGACTTTGTGGACCGACATAGTCCTCGTCTCAAATTTAGACATTCAATGGATTCAGAGCTAGGACGACGGTTTCTAATGGATGAAGTTGAAGTTCTTTATTGATATGGTTGTATGCTGCCATATGGTTTGCATATAAGAGGAGGCACGGTGGAGTAATGGATAGCGTCTCGGGTTGAGGAATCGAAGAGCCGAGTTCGAATTACAGTCGAATCCATTACATTCACTTACGCGCTAATACCCTTGGGAAAGGTATTAATCCTCTTCTTCTTCCCGTAAATAGCAGGACAGACCGTTTTCTATAAATCCTCTTCTTAAGGCTATGGGTAAATAGCAGGACAGACCGTGTTCTAAAGCCTTGGATGGCAACTGGTCTACTGCAGAAAGAAATGGCAACCTACTGCGCGAAAAAAATCTGACTCGTCAGTCATAAATCGAAAGATACATGATCGGCTAAGAGTGTACCACCTTTGACTTTCAGGTCGAATCCATTACATTCACTTACGTGCTAATATCCTCTTCTCATCCCCAGCATTGGGTAAATAGCAGGATAGACTGGGTTCTATAGCCTTGGATGGCAACTGGTCTACCGCAGAAAGAAATGGCAACCTACTTCGAGGAAAAAATCTGCCTCGTCAGTCATGTATCGAAAGATGCATGATCGCCTAAGCGTGTATCACGCATGGCACATGAACTGACTGACTTTCCAGTTGAATCCATTACATTCACTTACGTGCTAATACCTTTGGGAAAGGTATAGATCCTCTTCTTCACCCCCCCCCTTATCTACGGCAGAAAGAAATGGCAACCGACGTCGGAAAAAAATCTGCCTCGTCAGTCTTGTATCGAAAGATACATGATCGCCTAAGCGTGTATCACGCATGGCACATGTCGAATCCATTACATACACTTACGTGCTAATACCCTTGGAAAAGGTATGAATCCTCTTCTTCTTCCCCAAGCTATGAGTAAATAGCAGGACAGACCGTGTTCTACAGTCTTGCGTGGCAACTGGCCTACCGCAGAAAGAAATGGCAACCTACTGCGGGAAATAAATCTGCGATACATGAACGCATACGCATGACTGATTGGAGAGGTAAGCAATCTCTGAACGAGTCTAGTGCCATGCATGCTATCTATAAGAATGTCCCGATCTGAGGAGGCTATTTAAGGACATAACCCTCGCTTTTAGGTAGGCGATCATAGCTCTCTACATCTTCTCGTAGTAGCTTGTGGTGTTGGGTGAAACTACACCTAGCACAACCTAACTATACTCATTTTTTTTTATCTCCTGTACTAACTTTTGTATCATATTCATGTAATGGGCTATTTGATGTTTTGTCATTAGTAATTTCACATACTAAAATTTTATGAATGATTCAGGGTATGTGTCATCATTTCCAATTCATCCCAATTTCAAATCATATTTTCAGTTTTGGAGAATGAGGTTTATGTGCCTTTCGCATTAATAGAAAAAATCTTTAAAAGTCAGTCCTCGGTAAGACGATAAACTAAATCCGGCAGCAAGACCTCTGATTGGTAAATTGGAAAACACCAGCAATACATTTTTATATAAAAAAATAAACAACAATAGCTATTTATAGTAAAATTACCTACAATACTGTTGTAATATTGTTAAGAAATAATGGTCCGGTGCCCCTGCTATTTACCTTGATCTCTTTGATAAAAATCCATAAAAAAATCAGCGATATTATTGGTCCTAATCTGGCAGCTCGGCTTCCCACCGCCGTAAGGTTGCCCCTCTGTGTTTTTTCTATAAATACTTTCATATTGTTCCGATAAGCTCTTCGCTATGACATTTTCTTCATTAGTTGCTTCTATTTTCAGACCAGTTCAAGTCTCTTTACGCGCTAGACGAGATTTTGTCGCTGCCAGTTGGAACTTCTTGTTTTTGATTTTGAAGAACTGTTTAATTTTACGTTAAGTTTAATTTTAAATTTTTCTTTCGTTTTCATTTTTGCTCCATTTTTGGAGGAGGAACGATGGAGTAATGGATAGAAACTTTGCTTGAGGAATCGGAGAGCCGAGTTCGAATTCCAGTCGAATCCATTACATTACATTCACTTACGTGGTAATTCCCTTGGGAAAGGTGTGAATCCTCTTCTTCTCCCTCCAGCTATGGGTAAATAGCACGACAGACTGTGTTCTATAGCCTTGGATGGCAACTGGTCTAGGAGAAGGACAACTCTGAATTCAAAAGTGCACAAGGTCTCTGTAATCGGCTCTTCAAAAAGTGTAGATGGTCCTGCACGAAACCTTCACCACTAGAATCAAATTTTATGTGCTATCCATGCGGGTCGGGGACCGCTTGTGAATGCCAAATTCCCATGAAACTCCAATATTGGAGCTGGCTCAACCCACCCCGGGTGAATGCAGGTACAGGTAGGTATTTTTGCTGACTGTTTTGCCGGGGTTTTAGAAAAAAAATTTAGTGAAAATTAAAAAAAAAAGAGACTTATACTTAACATCAGCACCGATGTATTTGAAATTTCTGAGACACGTAATGATGAAAGAAGGCTTGGAAAAAAAAAAAAAACTAAATCCGGAAGCAAGACGTTTGATTGGTAGATTGGAAGTTTTGGTAAGGTAGAACACATCATAATTGCTGCTGTTCCCAGGTGCACGCTGACCCGGGGTTGTAGCACCTGTTAGGGTCCCAGCCATGGACAAATACTAAAAAAAGCCAAAACCTATGAAGTTATGAAAATTCATTTTTATAATAAAAATACCAGCAATACATTTTTAAATAAAAAATTTAGAACAATATCTATTTATAGTAAAATTACCTACAATACTGTTGTGATCAAGTATATGGTTAAGAAATAAGAAAAACAAGCGATTGCAGATAAATAGTGTATTGAACAGTAAATACAACAGAAGTGTATTACACGGCTTGGGGGGTGTGTGTCGGTTGACCAGCGTTCAGTCTACATCACTGTTCCCTCGAAGCTTTACTTTCCTACTTTATTTATATTAAGTGGAAGAGTCAACAATAACCTCATTAGAGGAAAGACGCCACAACAAATACATTAATCAGTCTGACAGAATTTTCATAGCATTAATCCATATAATATCCTAATCCATTAAACCATATAATATCCTATAATTTCTTAAAGAAATCAAACTGTTTCCCAAAATATAACTTTGTTTTATCGTATTAGTGAATGATACACAGAGAAGAATGAGTGCTTAATATATTTATTCGGCACCAGTATCCGCTGCTAACGGATACATACAAAAAACACAGAAAATAAATTACAAAACAATTAACAAGACAACTTACAAGGAATAGAGGAGGGTCAACTGCTATATAGCCAAACGAAGTACAGTCCGAATATTAATCAGCTTAGTATCAACTTATTAATCAACTTATCAACTGTTGAAGTTCTTAATCGTGGACTATTTAAGACTATGAGCCAAGCCATCTGGTAGAGTGCTGAAGCTACTCTACAACAAACTTTAACAAAATTACAACATAAAACATACATAACACCGCCTGTAGTAATGATGTCCACACAAATATGTATATGCATAAAAGCTGAGTATCATCTACCATGTACTCACTTGCGAAAGCAGAATAACATACGATATTGTTATAACTTCAAAGCTCACAAGAAAATTAAATTTCGCCATTAAATGATCCATAAGGAGTCGCAACGCCGTTAAACAAACAAATCTTTGAAAGATCGTATTTCTATCTAATCGTTTTCTGTTCAAACTCAGCAACACTAAAAAAAAAGTTCACAGGCGATGAAAAATAAATTGTTTACAACAATGTGAAGCTGAGAATGTCCTGAGACAAAGGAAATATTCTAAAAGCTCGTGATTACAGAATGCGGAGACGAGGACCAGAATGGCCAGATTTTGGCCGGAGTGCCTCGTAGATATAGTATTCTGACAGTGATTAGTTGCATTTGTCTGGTTTTGGATATAAGTCCAAAACGTCGTGAATTCAACAGAGGACCGCAAGAATTTTGAAGCATCGATTCGCTTCCCACACCGAGGTTGAGAGACCGGCTAAGAACACCCGCGAAGTGACGCTTAGTCAACGTACGACATACGTTCCCGTGATGTTGAATTAAACAAATACTGACAACGCTAGACCCACAGCGCCTTGCAGACCTGGCAGAAATTGGTACAGTCTGATTTTAGATGTTCCGCTACATCCACCGTACTCATCTGACCTTGCACGTTCGGATCACCACTTGATTTTTTAACAATTTTTTGAACAAGCATTGAAACACTGATTCTTGTGCAATCATCGAAGTTAAGCAATGTCGAGACTGGTCAGTAACTAGATGGGTGACCGCAAGAGGAATACCAGGTACTGTAAGCATGGATGTGTGTTTGTTGTTTCCTTATGTCCATATGAAACATTTATTCTTGTACAATCACCGAAGTTAAGCAATGTCGAGCCTGGTCAGTAACTAGATGGGTGACTGCTTGGGAACATCAAGTGCTGTAAGCATGGATGTGTGTTTGTTGTTTCCTTATGTGCATATCACGTTGAAACATTGGTTCCTGTATAATCACCAAAGTTAAGCAATGTCGAGCCTGGTCAGTAACTAGATGGGTAACCGCTTGGGAATACCAGGTGCTGTACACTTGGATGTGTGCTTGTTTGTTTCCTTATCTGCATATCACGTTGAAACATTGGTTCCTGTACAATCACCAAAGTTAAGCAACGTCGAGCCTGGTCAGTACCTAGATGTATAATCACTTTGGAATACCAGATGCAGTAAGTTTGGGTGTGTAAAAGGTGCAAATAAATAACGGCAAGGAATTGAAAATGAGAGAGCCGTGTTCCAATTCTAGCCAGGTTCGATATTCACTTACGCGAAAATACCCTTGAGAAAGGTATCACTGCACATCTTCCCCTCCAGCTATGGGTTAATTAGTAGGACGTATCAGTAAATCATTATTATCTAAAAGAAAATAAATTCTTACAATGTAAAAATTTCTAGTTTTAAATAACCCGCAAAAGATTGGTAAACCGTAAAAAACAAATCAGTCAGTCATTTAGATCTCTACAAACGTCTAATGGGAAGTACTTAAAAAAAAAAAACATAGACAAGATTCCAAGTTCTGGGAAGTTGGTAATGGTAATATTAGCCGTTTCCTGATAAGGAAACATTCGGCTTTCATTCACCCAGCAGCCAGTACTACTGTCAGCTGAAGCTTCTAAAATATTCCACTTAAAACACATTTCCAAGAAAACCTATTTCTAAAGTACAGTAGTTTTTATCCCTTTTTCCAGCACTGATGGGGTTTCCTTCCTAAACTTTTGTTTAAAGCCGTGTAGAACGTCAACTTATCGAATGACTTGTTTTTGACCCTAAATAGTTTTAATTATTCTCTTTATCTTAGTATTTTAAGTTGATTATGGAATATTTAAAGCGACACCAGTGTACAAATAGACATCTTTGTCGCCATATTCATTACAACGTTTCGGCCGTTGTACGCTCCGGCGTCCTTCATTGGTTGGAATGTCAAACTGAACCCCTTTTTTCGCTCTAGTTTCATTTATCAGCATTTGCCCTCTTCAAATTCTCCACTGCCTTAACCGAGTATTGAACTCACACTCTTTGGGTCCTCTCACTGGATCTAACTAACGCCTTTATCCCTTGTGCCATTTGTCCCATCTGTGTATGAATTTCTGGGTATTATAAAACTAATGTCTCAGCCAGCATTTTTTACCAGTGCTCATATTGGAATTTTTTTCTGTTATCATTTCATGTTTTTTCCAGAGCTCATATTGCAATTTTTGTTGTTATTATCGCTTTTCTCTGACAATCCATATTACTGGTTTCCATATTGTATTCATTTCTATGCTTGGTTGTAATAAATATGGCGACAATGATGAAGACAATAGTCCGAATAATGTAAATAGTATACATAATACCTCATCTGAGAAATATAGACAGATACTGAAAGGCCGAAACGTTGTAATAAATATGGTGACAAAGATGAGGACAGTAGTCCAAATAATGTAAATAGTGTACATAATACCTCATCGCAGAAATATAGACAGATACTGAAAGGCCGAAACGTTGCAATAAATATGGCGACAAAGATGAGGAGAATAGTCCGAATAATGTAAATAGTGTATATAATACCTCATCTCAGAAATATAGACAGATACTGAAAGTCCGAAACGTTGTAATTAATATGGCGACAAAGATGAGGACAATAGTCCGAATAATGTAAATAATGTACATAATACCTCATCTTAGAAATATAGACAGATACTGAAAGGCCGAAACGTTGTAATAAATATGGCGACACAGATGAGGACAATAGTCCGAATAATGTAAATAGTGTACATAATACCTCATCTCAGAAATATAGACAGATACTGAAGGGCCGAAACCTTGCAATAAATATGGCGACAAAGATGAGGAGAATAGTTCGAATAATGTAAATAGTGTACATAATACCTCATCTCAGAAATATAGACAGATACTGAAAGGCCGAAACGTTGTAATAAATATGTCGACAAAGATGAGGAGAATAGTCCGAATAATGTAAATAATCTACATAATACCTCATCTCAGAAATATAGACAGATACTGAAAGGCCGAAACTTTGTAATAAATATGTCGACAAAGATGAGGATAATAGTCCGAATAATGTAAATAGTATACATAATACCTCATCTCAGAAATAGAGAAAATCTGCTAAGATAGAAATAGCGGGTAATTCAACTTCCTATATAGGGAAAAACGAATACACGTGACCAATCGTTTTAAATGTGAAGCCTATGCATGTTGTATGATGATAGTAGTTAGAAATTGCTCCGTTCCTCGAGGGTTGTTTTTGCCAGAAGAAAGAGGATGTGCCTCAGAATCTACACCTTTTATTACAGTGAGGAGGCATTGCCTAGGAAACGGACTCCCAGTAACGAGTATTTGTTCTTATGTTTAAAGGTTTCTGCGTCGGTGATAATCGAAGCAGAGGATGCCAGACTGTCGTGGCTATCAAAACGCGTAAAAAGAAACTGAGAGTGTGAAAAATATTTTAGATAGATTCAACGGTTGCGGAGAGATGGAAAGAAAAAGAAAATTTGTAAGAAGACATTTAAAAAAAAATCACAGATTCAGAGAATTGTTAAAAAAAGAAAAAAGCGAAGAGGGAGATAAAAAAAAAAATGAAAGAGAAAGACAAATCCCAAGAAAGAATGAGAGAGGAAACAGCGAATATTAAAATGGAAGTCTCAAAGCGAGGCTTTCTCGATCAATATATTGATTGAATCCTTCTTCTTGTCCCACCTCCACCGCTTTACAATTCTCTCAGGGAACTTGCTTTTCTTTCGACATTTTCTTTGGTCTCCTTTCTGTCTCTCGTCCGTCTCTCTCTCTCTCTCTCTCTCTCTCTCTCTCTCTTTACCGCTTTCTTTTCTGTCTTTTTTTTTTATATCGGCTGCATTTTCTACTCGCTAATGCAGGTGATCATGTTTTATTTAAACTAAGCATTATTTTGTCCGTGTGTGTGCATGAATTTTATTTGTATTAATATAATATATATATATATATATATATATATATATATATATATATATATATGTGTGTGTGTGTGTGTGTGTGTGTGTGTGTGTGTGTGTGTCTGTGTGTGTGTGTGTGTGTGTGTGAGGTGCATGCAAAAGATTATATTGCTTTATATTCGAAAAAAAACATTTTTTATTAAGTATTAAGTGCCTGGATACTTTCTTTCTTTCTTTCTCCTCAAGTTTGTTGACATCTATCTATCTATCTATCTATCTATCTATCTATCTATCTATCTATCTATCTATCTATCTATCAGGTCTGTCTGTCTGTCTCGTTCTGTTCATTTCTTTCTATCTATCTATCTATCTATCTATCTATCTATCTATCTATCTATCTATCTATCTCGTTCTGTTCATTTCTATCTATCTATATCTCTTTATTTCTATCTCTTTTATATTTGCTTTCTCGTTCTCGTTCTCTCTTTCTCTGTCTCTCTTTATATCTCTCTCTCTCTATCACTCTTTCTCTGTCTCTCATTCTTTTCTGTCGTTTTTTTTATGTCAGCTGCATTTTCAACTCTCTGAGGCAGGAGATTATCTTCTGTTTAAACTAAGCGTTATTTTGTCAGTGTGTGTACACACTTGAGCGTGCATGCGCGTGGCTCAAAAGCAAGAATTAATAAAATTGCATCGATAGGTCAGAAGCGAGTTGGCTTTTTTTTTTAAGACTAACGGATTGAGTTCAGACAAGAAATGCAGGCAGCAGGTAGCATGTGTAAGAAAATGGATACTGGGGAAAAGATTGATATAAAAATGTCAATAATAGACAGACTCTCTCTCTCTGAATTATTTCTTTCTTTCTGTCTATTTATATATCTATCTATTCAATGTCTATCTGCCTGTCTATCTAGATATATATCTATCACAATTTGATCTTATCTATCATGTACTGTTCGTATTTATCTATCAATCTGGCAAGAGTCTGTTATCTATCTATCTATCTATCTATCTATCTATCTATCTATCTATCTATCTCAGTCTGTTCATTATCTATCTATCTATCTATCTATCTATCTATCTATCTATCTATCTATCTATCTATCTATCTATCTCAGTCTGTTCATTATTCTATCTATCTATCTATCTATCTATCTATCTATCTATTATCTTCATCTATCTATCTATCTATCTATGATTACAGGCTAAACACTGGTTCTCGTACTATCACCGAAGTTAAGCAACGTCGAATTTCGTCAGTACTTGTATTGGTAACCGCTTGGTAACATCAGGTGCTCTAAGCTTGGATACTCCGTGAGGTGTAAAGCATAAAGGCTTACTATTGAAAACCCGAAAGCCGACTTCTAATTCCATTTGGATTCGTTGTATTCAGTTATGCGCAAATAACCTTGTCACCTGTTTTTAATGAAACTTGTATAAAAGAGGGGTTGCTACCCAAATATACACACATAATGATTATTATAATCCATATACCAAAGAGTTAAATCATCGTAGATATGTCAGTGAATAATCAAACCATAATCAGAAAATTCTAGATAATTTACATAAATCCGTCCAAGTTAGGTTATCCACCAACTCCAGCAATAAGGACATATTTGATAATATTAAATTTAAATATATAAAAGCTTTACAACTAAGCAATCATAAAGTAAAAGTAAAATTAATTAGTTATCCTGATTTCCTATATAATCTAACATTAATTTTAAAGTATTAATAACCTGTAACTAGGATTCGTTGTAGCGTTATTTGAATTTAAATATACTTGTAATTTGATTGGTCATTACATCTTACGTAAAAATATTCCCCCTAGTTGGGGTTTGAACTCTTTAAAAACATTTTATTTTACTTGCAACACCATCACTTGACACGACAACAGAAATATTGTAAAAAAAAAAAAAAAAATGGATATTTTTGTAGTTCTGTTACAACATATGTTATAATTTTTAAATAAATGCTAGATGCAATCCTCAGGCCTCATATTTACACACGCACTATCTCTGATATTGAGCACTTTATACCATAAATATAGCACACCTTAAAACGATATTTCTTCATATATATATATATATATATATATATATATATATATATATATATATATATATGCAGAAATGTAGTTTTAAATATATTTATATTCTATATTTATGGATAAAATGTTCAATATCAGAGATAGAGCGTGTAAATCATAATATAAAGTGAAATCAACACTCCAGAGGCGACAGGCTGTTTCATGCTGGACGCAATCATCAGACGACCTGAAACAGCAGCCTGTCACCTCTGAGTGTTGACTTCAGTGTTCACTTTTATATATATATATATATATATATATATATATATATATATATATATATATATATATATATATATATATATATATATCCAAATGAAGAGAAAAACAAACAGATTTAGAATCCTCAGCAGAGCTTAATATTTTTAATGATATTTCTTATTTAAAAATATTTTATATTACGAAATGGAAATTTCTATGTTTTGGAACTTTGAATGTTTTATTCCTTCATCAGGCAATGTTCGGCAAAATGAAAATGATTTACTTTTGAAAACAGAAAACAAATTTGCTTATTAAAGAATTAAGTAGGAGGAGAAATTAGATTGTTTTCTGTTTTCGTAATGGCAGAAGAGCTTGTGTGTATACATATGTTTGTGTTGACATCATTACTAGAGGTGGTGAGATGTGTGTTTTATTTTGTAGTGTTGTTGAAGTTTGGAATACAGTTTTATTTAAGAAATTGTTGGATATTAATATGGAATGAAGATGAGGATAACTCCGAATGTCAAGTGAAAAGACAGTTCTTTCATGTTGATTGGAATAATGAAATAATGCAAGTAATCATAATACCTCATCTCAGTTAATTTTTCAGCGGCATATCATAAAGGCCGGAGAGTCTATCTAATTATTTTATACGTAATATAGAGAGACATCATAAAGGCTTAAAATACAAATAATTTGGACATAATTTTATACATTCAGAAATATAGACAGATATATAGAGAGACATAGACATAAAGGCCGGAGAGTAAAACGGCCGAAACGTTGAGGAATATGGCAATGAAGATGAGGATAACAGTCCAGAATAATGTAAATAATGAAGATGAGGATAACAGTCAATAATGTAATCATAATACCTCATCTCAGAGATATAGACAGATATATAGAGACATAGACATAAAGGCCGGAGCTTAAAACGGCCGAAACGTTGTGAATATGGCAATGAAGATGAGGATAACAGTCCGAATAATGAAATAATGCAAGAATCATAATACCTCATCTCAGAGATATAGACAGATATAGAGAGACGAATAATGTTGTGAATAAATGAAGATGAGGATAACAGTCCGGAATGTAAATAATACCATAATACCTCATCTCAGAGATATAGACAGATATATAGAGACATAGACATAAAGGCCGGAGAGTAAAAACGGCCGAAACGTTGTGAAATGAAGATAACAGTCCGAAATGAATAATGACAAATGAAATAGACAGAGGATAACAGTCTTGAATAATGAAGATGAGGATAACAGTCCGAATAATAATGCAAGTAATCATAATACCTCATCTCAGAGATATAGACAGATATATAGATATATATTTTTGTCCGAATAATGTAAATAATGCAAGTTCATAAACAAACAAAAACATCATGAGGATAACAGTCTGAATAATGTAAATAATGGAATAATCATAATTCTCATCTCAGAGATATAGACAGATTCTATATTTTGTACGGTTGCTTATAAACTTTGAAATTTAGTTTTAAACATTGAAATTTAGTTTTAAAAATTTAACTGATTGATTTTTCTTTTCTTTTTTTTATTTTTGCATATCAACTCCTTACGGATTATTTAATGCCAAAATTAAATTTTGCAGGGAGAAATAAAATGTTATTCTGTTTTCATAATGGAATACATGGTAGATGATACTCAGCTTTTATGCATATACATGTTTGTGTGGACATAATTACTAGAGGTGGTGAGATGTGTGTTTTATGTTGTAGTTTTGTTGAAGTTATATTTTGGAATACAGTTTGATTTCTTTAAGAAACTCTAGGATATTATATGAATTAACGCCATGAAAGAGTTCTTTTATGTCAGTCGTTTGGTATTGTTTTCACCGGATATGGGGAAGCCACTACATTTTGTTAGTAAGTGTGCATTGTCGGTACTTTTATTATAATTATGCATGGTTAATAATTTTTTAAAATAAAATGTATTGGTGGTATTTTTACTATAAAAATGTATTTTTATACTTTCATAGTGTTTTTTATTTGCGGTGGGGGGATCACTATTTACCCATAAGTGGGAACCTAACAGGTGCTACCCCTCCGTGTCAGAGTGGAGCTGGGAACAGTAGCAAATAAGCTTTCATGATCCTGAAAACCACAAGCCTCCCAAATCAGAGGCCTTGCTGCCGGATGTAGTTTATCGTCATACCCAGGACTATTCATGAATGGTGCTAACGCTATGCACCAAATATAACAATCTCAAAAACGAATACAACGCATTAATAGAGTGGGTAAAAACGATAATTTAATTCCTGGCCCAAACAAACAATAACGACAAAAGACCATCAAAGACCATTTAAAAGGTTTGTAACTGTATGTGTTCTTACGGTCAAATTACGCTAAGACATCGGCTTTCTTCTGATCACCGGAGGTAAGCAGTGTCCAGACTGGTGCTTACTTAGACGAGAACCGCCTGAGAAGACTGGGCACTGCAAGCGAAAAACAGGTTGGGCATGGGCGTTAGCAGGAAGAGACAGTTGAAATTTCTGGGGTAAATAAAGAGGAAAAGGGACTTGAAAAATAGACACGGGACAGGTTGAAGGTAAGCGTGACAGAGAAAAGCAACTCACTATCATCTCGGGGAGGTTGTGCGAATGGATGGCGGAGCAGCGTTTGGGAGAAAGGGCAAAAAGACAATGGACAGAATATTGTGGAGAGTCATGATCGCCTGTTCTGAAGAGACGCAGCACACAGAAGAAGAAGGAAGAAGAAGAAGTAGGAGGGAGACGAAACAGGAGAAGAAAGAGGAGGAAGGTGGGGGAGGAATAAGACAAAGGAGCAGAAGAAGAAGAAGAAGAAGGACAAGGAGGAGGGAAAAGAAGGAGGAAGAAGAAGAAAAATGAGGAGGAGGAAGAAGGAGGAGTAGGAAGGAGGATAAAAAGATGATGAAGGAGGAAGAAGGAAGAAGAAGGAAGAAGACTAAGAAGGAGGAAGAGGAGGAAGAAAAGGATGAAGAGAATGAGGAGGAGAAGGAAGAGGAAGAAGGCGGAAGACAAAGAAGGAGAGTGGGGAAAAGGAGGGGGAAGAAGAAGAAATGCGTGTTACGTAACGTCACTCGCTTCGGCTCCCTTCTTTGGATTGAACGCAACTGAGGAAACGTCAAATTGAACTCGGCCAGCCGATTCCAACATCGGCGCCGATAACTGCTTGCACTACCAGCACGTCTTTATCCTGATGCTATTTGCTTCATCTTGTATCCCCTGCATGAGATCCATTATCCATCGCCTATAAGTATCTTGTTGAAAATGTCGTTCTTCTACATCGAGAAAGGAAAACGAAAAGAAAAGAAAAGGAAAACATATTTCTCAATGTTGATCGATGTTTGTTTTTGTAAGTACATACGGAACATATCTTTCAATGCTTCCTGAGTAAGAGAATTCTCCTACGGCTTTGTAAACGGCTTTCTGTCATTGTCTCTTGTACAAGCGCAAAGAAACGGCGTAAACTTATTGAAAAAAAAAATAAACAAAACAAACACATTGAATCAACAAAGAAAACGTCTGTTGATCTATATTAGTGTGTTCACATATATCTCTGTTAATATTCTACATATCCGAAGCAGCTTGGCGCCTGGTAATATTTAACAAAGCTAATCTGGTTAAACATTACTGATGTGTAGAGAGTCCGGTCCTCACTGTGAGATCCTTGAAATATTCTACATTAAATGACGCAACAATAATGAGTCCTGGTTAAGACGATAAATTACACGTGCGTCCTGGTTAAAACGATAAAGTACATTCGTGTCCTGGTTAAGACGATAAATTACATGTGCGTCCTGGGTAAGACGATAAACTACATCTGCGTCCTGGGTAAGACGATAAACTACTTCCGACTGCAAAGCCTCTGATTAGGAGGTTTTGGGAGGCATGAAACC